CATTTCTTGGAATGACGAGCCCTGTACGTTACTTTCAGTAACTAATGGATAATAAAATAAATTAAATGAAATGGTACCGTATGCTTCTAAGATACGGAACCGCACCTTAACTAACAAAAAACACTCAGGCGCACACATGGTTTCTATGAATGGTCGAGTTCTACTAAAGCATCACCATAGTTTTTAGGTTCAAGGTTTTGCTTTACATTTTTTAAAATTTGCTGATTATTTATTGAGAGAGTAAAGTAATGGATCCAGATAGATATTATCCTCGTTCCCAAAAATTATCTGCGTTTTCAAAGCGATTGAGCAAATACGAAGTTATTTGTGTTGCTGTGCCAGATATGTCATGCTTACGTATCGCTTTGAGAGCGCTCAGCTTTTTCAATAATATAACGTGAACACCTACCCCAGAACATTATTAGGGCAGACATAATGAAGCCAGCCGAGCCGTCACAACTACTACACAAACAGTATTCTCACAAATGAGGAGCAATTACTTCAAATTGAGGAAACTCTTTTGACCCCGGCTTATTCTCATAACTTTTCCACCTTGGAAAATGTCTGCGTTACATTCCAAGAAAATATCACGGTTAGTTTAATAAAGGAATCTTCCGCACGTGTCAACTCGGATCTATCTGACGCCGCTGTTCATTTAGTGCCACGAACAATAACGGGGTTTTGAAGGATGGTCAGCAGACTTATAATACAGTCACAACTCACAATTATTTCAGAGATTCCCTTAGAGCTCACATTTGAAATAGATCTTGAATCAATGAATAAATTATGAAATTAGAGGCATACTGGCCACCATGAGGAGCCCGCACATAGATCACTCAAACGGGTCTTTACGCACCCCTGCATTCCCTGAACCTAAAGCCAACAAGCTTAAGTTGTTTCTGCTCAAAGATAAGCAAAAGCGTCCACCCACTAGGCCCTAAGATGAGCTTCCGAGCCTGATGCAGATGTCTTGAGATGCGTCTGCATTTCAGAGGGTATTGCCTTAGAATCCACTTCATTGTTATCCTCCTGACGTGTTATGGATAGACAATAGTCCCACCTCTATTCTAAGATAAGAAGAAGGGTCCATCCACTGGCCCCTACAATCCTACAATGAGAACCTTGCCTGATGGAGATGTCGGCAGATGCTTCTCCATCTCTGAGAATGTTTACTTGCAATCTACTTCTCCATTGTTCTCCTGATTCTCTACGCGGGCACCTAAGACTGTCTGACGACCAACGAGCTTGCACGCTGATCCTGCTTTTGCAAGAGCGTCCGTTATATCATTGCCGTTCATCCTAACGTACCCCAGTATCCACTCCAACGATACCGGACGCCTAGCTGCTAGACTATACAGAGCCTCCTTTCAGTGCAATACAAGGGTTGGAGTAATTTGGCATGAACTGCCGTCATCGAAGCCTGGCTGGCGAAGAAGATTGTTATTATTCTTCTATGCCGCTCTCCCTCCAAAATGCGGGATACGCAAGCCAGAATCGCAAAGTTTTTCTCCTGGAAAATAGTGGTGTATCCATCGAGAGGCAAAGATAGCATAGTTCTAAGCCCAAACACTCCGGCGCCAGAACCCTCTTTAGTGACCGAGCCATTCGTATACTAGACCTGCCCACTCCCTCCTTGGAAGACCTTCTTGCTTCCGAAGTTCCACTTCCTCCCTCGTTGAATAATCCACATTAAGCTTGCAGTTAATGCGACATTTTGAATTGGTCAGATCACCCCTACTCGGAAGGACACGATCCCCCTTTCCACAGTCAATGTGCGACTACCCTCGATTCTCCGCAGATCAATAGATTCCATCGCTGGGAGGCCCAGCAGATATTCCATTGCACTCAATGGCGTTAATTGTCTCGTTTCCAATAGAATGTCACCAAACCGCGGAGCCTTAAAAAGGAGATGGACGTACTACCGCATAGAGCCAGTGTACCACTTAGGATTCAAGTCCCCACCTCGCTCCGACAACATGTCTGCGAGCCCACATTGAATTGCGAGCCTTGATAACCTGGTATTCAACATGATCTCTCTAATTCAGTTTGCAGTACAGGGTATTTCCTAGATATTTTACTGATCGTGGTGGAACTAGTCTAGTCCCAAAAATGGTCGGAAAGACAAGCCCGTGAAGCTTCCTTCTCATAGTGTATAGAATCAGCTCGGCCTTTTCAGCGTTGACAGAATGATCGACCTCCTTACGCCATGATTCCGCAGCGCCCTGCATAATCTTGGAGACCGTTCTAGAAATCGTAACACGTCTCTTCCCTTCCCTTCTCTTTGCTTCCATTCTCCTCAATGAATTAGGGTACACTCGATCTTTTCTGCCATTCATGCCATCCCTTCCTGTTACAAGAGTGACTGGAAAATGCAACTGTCAATCTTTTCTCTAGAACTCTGTTATGGAAGTATAGAAATCCTTTCAGTGTCTCCTTGTAGAATATTTTACAATTAGTGGGAAAATTTGTCACTTTCAGCACGAATTTGTGTATTGCGAGTTCACAAGACAAAAATCTTCACGAAAAGAATGCGTAACGAAACAACGAGCTTTTCAGACAGGAAAGAATCGCATGGTTGAATCGCAGGAAAGAAAAGTGGTGCATGTTTTCAAGACGTTTTACTGTTGCTGTATTTTTAATGTATTTTGTCTGGACTATTATCAGTAGCCGACCCTAATAGAATTGGTGTTTTCCATCACATAGGAAACTTCACAAAATCAAATTACACTGCACGAGTAGCGCACGACAGCAATTAAGAAAGTAATCCAAGTTCCCAAAAATTACATTTGTTAGATCCAAGAGCAATTTAAGAGGCTATTACGGCTCACTGGTAGATATATAACTTACTAGAAGGTATACAAAAGTTTGATTGTGCCGCTGGGAACGTAAGAACGCATGAAAGCTATCCAAGTTCCTTTCAGCGACTATAAGGCATAAACTTGTTATACTTCTAGTCTTTGAAGGATTTATCAGACCAAGTAAAAATATTGATTATTCACCAATTCATTTATTTATCCCTTCTCGAAAAAAAAACGTTGCATGTGAATAGTACACACAATAGGAATACATTTTTAACTTAAATCCAAAAAACCTATATCTAACAAAACACTGTACAAGCTATTTTCAATTAAATACTCTTTCAAAAGGTTGTTAAATGTCTTCAGATTGTGGCAATTCTTTACTTCTTCAGGTAGTGGATAAGCAATTTTCAGGCCGTTAATATTTGGGTCTTACACGTAATTTGAGTTCTATAGGGTGGTATATAGAAGTCTGATATTAATTGAGTGCATTTGGATGTGTTGGGATTTTTTCTCTATCTTTAAATGCACATAAACAAGTTTCCAATGTATAACAGATCTCTACATGATGTTCCAGTACTGACATCTGCTATACATCTGACAATTATTGTTTTTCATGAGCACATCCTTTGATGTAGTAGATATCCCCCAAAATTATATGCGATATCTCATGACATTGATTGATTTATGGTAGAATATCTTTTAAATTTATTAGTAGATAATATAATCAATTAAGCCTCGTTATTACATAGTCACAGCTCTGAGTCCACTACATAATAATAATAATAATAGTAATAATTGCAATTTTTCTGCCTTGTGTGAAATCTAATACATTGTGTCTTGTTCAGATTTAAATATAAATTATTATTTGAACACCAGCTATATTGTCTTCTATCTGGATCTCAGCAGGTACAGCATTAGGTAACTCGTTTACATATAGCAAAAATCAAACAGTGCCTAGAATAGTACGATGTGGGACACTCATGAAACATTCTTCTATCCCAGAATTAACTTCAACCCTAGTACCATCTGAGTTTAAATGGCGTATAGGTACATACTGCAATCTATTTGTGAGGAAGGTCCGCAAACATTCTAAAGGCTGACTTTTTATGTCATAACACACTACCATATCCAAAAGAGTATCATGTTCCACACAGTTTAAATATTAAGCGGGCCACCTGTGAAAAGTAACATGGATCCCCATCTCCAGACCTTGAGCTATACGAATATCTCATTATGCTTTTTATTTGCTAGTCATTTTATTTTTTGGGTATGCGGTACTACGCGTCTAGGATGGGGTGGGATGTGTTCTAGTGGACCGGACCTCGAATAATTCCGATTGAACTTCCTTACTAGGTAAGTCGTTTAATCTCAAATTATTCTTCAGTCCGGTCCACTAGAACACATATTGTAGATGTTTAAAGTACTAAATGAGCTAAATGAGCTAGCAAATGTCATTATGTAATAACATAAAGAGGAATTAAGAAATAATAAAATTATTAGATATGCATTGAATATAAAGTATTTTAATACAAATTGTGAGAACAAAAATTTTTCATATATTTCCTTAACTTTTTTTTTTATATATTAATTATGGCAGAACAACTAACAATTAGTTTATATACAATAACATCAACGTAACAAGCAATAGAACATACGTTATACAGGGTGACTTTGAAGTTGAGTCATTAATTTTCAGATAATGATTGTAGAAGGAAGATAAACCAAAATATGTGTGTAAAAATAAAAATAAAAAATAAAAAAAAATTTTTACCTTGTTTTATAAACTATCCTCCCGACAAGTATTTCAGTGCGGACCTGTATTTGATCGTGAGGTCCCCTGTGAAGTCTTAAGTCACCTGATTCACAACCCGTTGTACTACATTAACAAAGGCACGAGGAGTTGGTTGCACTCGATTGGGAAACCGATCCGCATAAACATGTGCCATTTTTTATTTCGTTTGAGCCACGCAACAGACACTATTCACACGCGACTGACACTGATTGTATGTATAACTGAACTGAATGAAATATTGTAAAAAACTCGTTCCAAATTCTTTCGCTTTTTTGTTTCCGATGCGATGAACCGATAAGGTGGATTATATCCGTTGTTGCCAAACACAAGCACATGACATTATTATTGAGACAGGGCGGTACTCAAACTTCCAAAGGGCTATAACTTTGTTACTTTAATTTTACCAGAAAAATGGTAAAGGAAAAAAACATTTCTTTTGATCAGATCTACTCACTGTTAAAATAAATGACTCAACTTCGAAGTCACCCTGTATAAACGTCCTTATTCTAAACCTATATGTTATAGACCAACAAACGTAACTAGAGTCTAACACAATATTTTAGTAGGTAGTAATGTAATTAATCCCTGCGCGACCTGAGTTGTTTGTTTTCCGTACGAGCTAGTACGCTATTTATGAAAAAACTGCTATCTAACGGCCTGTTATAAAACTTAAAAAACACGTTGGACCGTTCTGACCAGCCTACTGTGGCTCTTATAGTTTCAATGTTAGTACCTGATCTGTAGGCTGCAGAAACAGCTGCATGCCTAGTACTGTATCCAGAGAATGTACCAGTATTTATTCCAGCCAGGCCTAGAATTTTCTTTAACCACCTGGAAAGAGTTTGAGTCGAGGCTGGATGGTACGGTTTTTTAATGGTCAAAAATAACTCCCGTATATTATTTCTTATGTTCTGACTTCTACTTAAATATTCTATCAATGTGCTAGATAGACATAGCTCTGGGGTCTCTCTAAAGAAGGGGAGTCTCAGTCTAGGTTGGATCCTACCGGGGCCTGATGTTTTTAGGATATCCGGTATTAAAATCTCTATGAAGTCAGTTCTTTGATAAATATTATCTATTTTAATTTTTGAAAAAGTTTGTAATCTTTGTGCTGTAAATAAGGCGAACAGCATAACCAGCTTATAGGTTAGGTCTGCAAAGCTTAGGGAAGAAAGGGGATGTAAAGATTACAAATATGCAATTACGGGATTTGGGTCCCAAGTTGCTTGATATTTTGGGAACACAGGTTTGATCTTAAATACACCTTTCAAGTACCTACTAATAACTTTCTCATCAACTTTCTTATTTATAATTAAATTAAGAGATGACCTAAACGTATTCAGTGTTGTATAACTAGCACCCTCCTTAAAACTATTATCTAGAAAATCAACGAAATCTGCTGTTGAGGGATTAAAGCAGTCTACTGCTCTACGGATGCAAAATTCCCACCATTTTTTATAGGCGGTATTGTATTGTTTCAGTGTATTAGGATTTAATGAAGAGATAACTACTTCTAAAGCTGATTCCGTCAGTCTTCTTGGAGCAAGAGCTTCCCTGATAAAATTCCTGACACCAGGGTAAGCTTTGGCCAAAGCGGATGTGGTTCCCTATTTGGAGATAATAAATATATTAGGAGTTAAATAAACCAATTTTGACTTGAGAATCTTATTGAAAATTGGGTACCAAGGTTGTGCCCTCCACAGAGGGACCACCATTATCCCCTCCCCCTCATCTTTGATAATTTTATTCAACGTTCTCATTATCAAAGAAAAAGGAGGGAATGCATAGAAAAATATATTTTACCAACTTATCGTAAAAGCATCAACAGCTATTGATTTCGGATCTTTTTTCCAGGAAATAAATTGTTTACATTTATTGTTTAGCTGGGATGCGAACAGATCGATGTTAGGAAGGCCAAAAGTGTGAACAATTTTCTTAAAAGCTAAAGAGTTTAACTCGTATTCAGATTCTGAATTAAGCGACCTTGATTCAAAATCAGCTACCACATTACGAGAGGATTCAATATAAGTTGCAAAAATATATATATTTTTAGACTCACACCACTGCCAGATTGCTTTCGACAACTCAGACAATTTCTTATATTTTACACCTCCCATACGATTAATGTAGGATATGGCGGTGGTATTGTCAACTTTTAACAAAATGGAGCAGTCTTTAAGGTCTCTTGCAAAACATCTTAGAGCATTATAGGCTGCTAGCAATTCAAGGTAATTAACATGAAATTTAGATTCCTGTAAGCTCCAAAAACCCTGGGTAGATTCTGGACCTGCCGAGGCTCCCCATCCGACATTTGAAGCGTCGGAGTAAATTACCACTTTATAATCCTGAGGCCTAAGCGAGACAAGTGATTTTGGTATTGCTGTCATCCACCAATTTAATTCTCTTTTTATTTTGAGTGTTATTATCATTTGCGAGTTATAATTGTTATTCGAATTTTTCAATCCTAGATATTTATATCTTTCTAAGCATTTTGTGTGCATAAGACCGTATTTTATAGCAGGACAAATCGAGATAAGGTATCCTAAAAGTCTTGCAAACTCTCTTATTTTACAACTGTTAAACTTAACAAATGTGTCAATTTTCAACAAGGTATCATGTCTTTTGCTAGCTGGCAGTGTCATGCACATGTTTATGCTATCATAAAGAAAACCTAAAAATTTGCAAATATTACTGGGTATTAATTGGCTCTTTTTGTAATTTACAACAAAACCCAAGGATTCTAAGAGTGAAGTGGTTACGGTTATATTCGTCCGACACTGATCTATACTATGCCCTAACAATAATAAATCGTCTAAATAATTAACTGAATAAAAACCTTTGTTTCGTAAGAATGAAATAACTGGTTTTAATAGTTTGGTAAAAATATAAGGGGCAGAGCAGAGGCCGAACGATAAGCAAGAGAATTCGTACAAAACCTTGTTAAACGTAAATCTTAAATATTTCCAACGTTTTTTGTAAATCGGTATACAGAAATAGGCGTCCTTTAAGTCTAGAGAGGCCATATATACTCTGTTGGTAATTATATTTTTAACAATTTTATAATTTTCCATTTTAAAGTGTTGGATTGTTACATATTTGTTTAATTGTTTTAGATTTATAACAAATCTCTGATTTCCGTCTGGTTTCTCTACTAAAAAATATGAAGATAGAAATTGATTTTTACACGGTTGGCATTTATTGATTGCGCCTATTGCTTCTAATTTATTGATTGTTTCTTTAAGGTTCTTAAATTCTATTTTACTGTAACTTTTGGTTTTTGGCAGGACTAACTGTTTAGGAGTATGAAAAAATGGTAAACGGTAGCCAGTTATACAGCTCAGAATAAATCTGTCATTCGTTATAGATTTCCAAGATTTTTGAAAATACTTTAGTCTACCGGCAAATAAAGCAATATTGTTAACATTTACCTCTACTGAATTTGTCGGTTTCGGTAATTGTATCTGGCTAGGTTCCCTCTCGATGATCTCCATTGATTTCTGTTTCTCTCTTGTATTCGAGGCTCCTTTCTCTTGTTTAGTACAAACTGACTTTTCCGAAAACGTACAGATGTTTTGGGGCGCTGCCAGTTTAAATGGCTCCTATTAAAGATTTGGCTGCTTGCAGGAACTTTACTCACCTGCAGCTCTACTGCAGATTTATTTATAGTTTGATTAATTTTACATTTCTCCATGAATGTTTTTCCAAAGGGAAAATTATCCATTTTAGATTCTTTAGCTAGCTTTTGCATGTCAGATTTTAAAAGAGGATAGACTTGATGTCTGCGATGCATTGATAACTGAAAATGGGCGTTGCACTGAAGTTTTCCTGCTGTCATTAGATCAGGTATTATTTCTTTTACAACATTAGGGAGGTCTGCTATATCTAACAGTTTGCTTATCACTGATGATAAAGCACTTAAGCTTCCAGCTATGTCATTTTGAATATGACACATAAAGGAATCTTTTTTCTGATCGGTAGGCGAAAGAAGTGCTAAAATCTCTGGATTTAAGGTAGGTGAGTTGAAAGAGAGGCAGTTTTCAGATGTTGGCCACTCGAGTCTTATTTTTTCTTTTTCATCGCTAGACATCCCATTGGTTGCGTAATAATTTAGCCTAGAGGCCACCTGATCACTCACTGGCTTGCCCATAACCTTAGGCATGGATGGATCAGTTCCCAGTATTTTATTTATACTATCTATTTTATCAGAGGGTATTGGAGAAAGTTCTGCTTCTCTGTGAACATCGACCTCTACGATATTACCCTGATTAACATCGCTGTGAACCGAATCTGATGAGGAATCACTTATGTGGCGAATTCTCTTTCTACGGGGTTCTATATCCTGGTCACTCCCACCTAAGAAACAAGAATGCCAGTTTTTCATTTTTAATTCAGTATGTCTAAATAGCGAGAAAGGTTAGTTATACATATACATATGTATGGCGAGTAAAGCCATTTTATTTAATAACATATTTTTATCATGATGAATCAAACGGCGAGTAAGGCCGTTTTGTACGAGAAATTAACCTTCAAGTAGTAGAATGCTAAATTTCGCCTACAAATCATTTAAAAACAAATTCATCATGTCGGTAGATGACGCCTAAGGCCATTTTCACCATAACCGCGTTTCCCTGATACACAAAACAATAATAAACATCGTACTTACTTGTAGAGACGTCCAGTAGCATTTCCTCTAATTTCTTCAACTTTTCTTTAATTATAATCACACGTTTCCTATTTGACGACATTGTGAACACGCAAAAAAGGTAAACAAGAGGCGACCACACTCCTTCGCACCAAAAAGCATAATGAGATATTCGTATAGCTCAGGGTCTGGAGATGGGGATCCATGTTACTTTTCACAGGTGGCCCGCTTCGTTACCGAATCGCATTCTACAATATGTGTTCTAGTGGACCGGACTGAAGAATAATTATACAATAATATTCTCTGTCCAGAAAAAAATGCATTTTTGATAGCTGAAACTGTTGTGCTTGAGGTTTTTAGACTTTCCGTAAATACTTCACATTTTTGTTTCATATTTCTAAGCCACTTAAGGTCCATGACCCATGAGTTAGACCGGAATCAGAACTCTCTTGGACTAGTTTTAAAAATTCAGAACCAGGTCTTAAGCATGACGTCATTGCTATGAATAGAGTTCGTTAGGTGATAAACTGAATTAGAATCATCCCCAAAAAGGTTTGCTGAATGTCAACGGTAAAAGTCGTTGCAATTCTTGGAAATCGATCCAGTGGCGGCGAAGATATGGGCAAAAAACGAAAAAAATAAAAATCTCTCAAATTTCGTGTTTTTTGACGTAATAGAGTGTCCCATATTATTCAAATCTGTATATAAGTCATATACGCTGATTACCATGACGACACCGAAAACTTGTTACACTAACAATAGGCTGAGGGATTGTGACTATTTCAACAAAATTAGTATAATTGCATTTTCTTTCTAATACTTCTAATAAAATATAATATGCTTATGGCAAAAATTTGTGCCTACTACTACAAGGATAGTGCGTGAACGATCAAAAAGATTAAAATGCTTTCAGTTCATATAGTCAGCCTATGGTACTTAGGATATAAAGATTATTACTAACGTGCGGGTACAGGAAGCACAAGTTGCTATTGGCATTCTGTCTGGAGGTTCGAACCCCAACTCGTGACAAACTTTTGTTCCTATTTTCTATTTAAGTTTTTGTAGTAGCTCCAACATTTTGTCCTATCACGATGTCTGGTTGTACTATTTGCTAGATTGTAGTATTTACTATCTAAGTTTACAATATTTGTTGGAAAGAAGTCTATTACCTGTTTCTGGATTTTGTAAAAAATGACCAGCTAAACCTCCTAGTTAGGAGAGCAGGTATTCATTTCGGGGACTATCCAGCATGAATTCACAATGGCATTTGTTAGCTTGTAGCATCTGCTATCTATAACTACAAGATGTTTTCCAAAATATAGGGTGTGTGGATTGAATATCAGTAAAGCTAATGATCAATGGCCCTGTATTTACCTCTCTGTTAGTGTAATATTTTTATCAATAATTATGATTATCTATTAAATAGAATATAATATATCATATTAACTTCGTTCCCTTTTACTGAGTGAGTAGTAGAACTGACTATCATCTGCGTATTGATGCACCTTACAAAATATCCATTCAAATTCACAGTATACTGTAGAGTAAATAGTAAAAAATAAAGGATGCTGCCCTAAGGGATACCTCTATTAACAGCTCCTAGTTGAGAAAGATTGCCATTCACAGCTGTAAGTTGAAACCAGAGAGACGAGTACAGTTGAAACAAAGTGCCAACACTTAATCCTACATTTTTTCAGTTTTTATCAGAGGCCCTCAGTATGTCATCAGATACATTTGCAATTGAGGTAGTTGTGCTAATGCCAGAACGAGCTCTTCCATCTTAAATGGACTAGATTTGATTGAGCATAGTGTGGATTTCATTTCTTTGAAAACAGTAGTGAATTCAATTGTGTCTGGAACGTTATTTTCTAAAGAATAGTAACCGCAGTTCTGATCGCAGTATTGCTGTTGCACACTTACCTAAAGTAAAATATATTTTTAAAATATAGAACGCAAGGTATCATTTCGCATGCTCCATGTCTCCATTTGTGGGATATACTTCATCTTTCTCTAGATAAATTTTTAACAAAACGACGCGCACGCTGAGTGTATGATGAAGTGGATGTTCCGAGCCAGATGGTATGTCTACAAGGAAATTGAATATTTAAGAAGTTTTTGGTAGGATTCATAAGCCGAAGTGTGACTAACAAGTCAAAAATATATGGAAGAAACTAAATAATCTTAGCGGCATTAGGCATTGGATCATTGAAAGATATAAATGGCAAATAGTCGCTTGGTGTAAATAAAATTTACCCAATAGGGGGTAGTTAGTTCATTCATTGGCAAATTTAACTTCATTCTGGCTTCTTATCACATCAGTTCCAATAAACCAGCTTCCACATATTTCAATTAGCTTAAGTTATGACTATCAAATCTAATAAAAATCATAAAAGGAGGCGGATTTTGGCGTTGGCTTGAACCCTATTTCATAAGCTTATTTGCAAATGCATTTTTAAATTCGTCATCTTAAAGAAGATTGATTACACATAAAATACTTCCATTTTCTTATCATTTAGTCCAATATCCTTCCAAAGCCCAGAATATGCCACTCGGAATATAATTAATTTTTGACATTGCTTGATACGTGTTGGTACTGTATCGAAAGCTAACGATTTTGTAGTTCTTAATAGTTAATCGAATGACGAAGCGATTGGGTGAAAGATTGGTTGTTTTCTACAGGTACTCTAAGTTGATATTTTGTTTATTCGACGTCTTTCAATTGTCTGGTAACTTCATGACGAGATCTAATAAGGTTTTTGATACAAAAGTTGCCACGTTGTTTTATAAATAAAATTAATAAAACCCGATAAATAAAATCAAATGGTCAGTCAATGCAAGACAGTTGTCTAGTGGCGTGCAAATACAGAGTGCCAGTGACTCAAGACGGATTAAGTCACAAATCTCCGCGATGTTAGTGCGAACTTTTTTTGCTTGACCCCTCACATAAAAGAAAAGAATCTTATAGCAATAACGTCAACTAATTAATTGTACAGAGAGCCAAATAAAACGCAAGATAAGATATTTAAAACAATCACAATATATTAACTAGTTAATTAACTCATGTGTCCATAATAATATGTTCCACTACTGCAGTGTAAATTGAAAAAGATATTATTCAAGTATGGGCTGCCTCACACTTGAAATATACGGTGCAGGAAGAAAAAAAACCCTAAAGAGTAAAACTGCTTACAAATCTAATCTCTATTCTTTTTATGAAACAAAACTACTTAATCAAAATGGTAAAGCAAAGGCAGAAACATAAAAATGTATTAAAGTAATATACTCTCCAAAAGTTCTCCTTTGTTCTAAAAAAGTCATGGCAGCTCAAAAATCAAAATCATGGTCAATGTAATGGAGTCAGCTCGAGAGAAGATGCCAAGGTAGGCACTGCCTCATATTTGAACACGAAAAATGCCAGACAAAATCTAGTACACTCTAATAATTTCAGAAAACAATAATCAATATATAAATATTTGTAAAGGAGTTAATTAAAATGACATTATACCTTTTCTATACCGGTCTTTTTTCTCAGCAAAATCGGCTACAACCGGCTACAAAACAGCTACAAAGTTGGATGAGTGGGGATGATGGTTTTTCGCAATGCTTTCCCACTAAAAGGAAGCAGATATTGCAAAGAAGTTCGACGCCCACTTGAGCCAACACGTGGTTAAATGGCATAAAAGAGAACTTACCGCTGAGAAGGTTAGAATCCCATAAAAATGGACGAAATAGCACCAAACATCAATCAAAACATACTATTAAAGATAGGGTAGGTAAGCAAAGGGGTACTATTCCGTAAACTGGTGATTGGAGCCCAACATCCCAAAATTTAGAAACCAAATGAAGGGCCGATACACCCTCTGAACCAAGGCTTACGCAGGAAGTGACCGACACGAATTTTCCGCAGTTAGTTGACTGTCAATGTCAAAAGTAGGAGGGCGTACCAAAATTCGACGGTAACCAAACCTACCTACATTCAATATCGCTAGTTTGCCTATGGGTAGGCCCTAGAAAGCCCACTTTCATGCCCGGGAAAACATTGACAAATTATGGCAAGTGCATTCGTTCAATAAAAATCAACAATAATAATAATAATAATAAGTTTATTCACGTAACATACAGATATAACTAAATCTAACATAGGTATATGTAAATAAACTGAATTTACCCACAGAAGAATAAATTCTTGTGCGTGGGTATTAACTTACATTTTTACATATATATATACATACACATTGTATGTACATATACTCATATAAATAAACACATAAATAGATGCACATACATATATACACACACATATACACCTACACCTAGGTAGGTATACACACCTACACACCTGTACATACATGTATATACAAACACACATATACGAGTATATGAACGTTGGAGGGTTTTTACTATTACATTAATTTTAAATTTTTTTTCATACGTGTTATGTTTGCAATTTGATGTCGAATTTTGTGGTTTCAATTTTGAATTTTGTTTTATTTGAAATATTTCTTATATAATTTGGTAATATGTTATAGAATCTGCTGGAAAGGTAAGTATGACATCTTTGGCCTACACGTTTTGAGGTGAAAGGTGTTTGCTTAATGTTGTTGGTTTTTGTTTCTAGTTTGATATAAGTGATCTAAGGAAATAAGATTATTTCTATGGTGAAATTGATAATTTTTAATTTTATAAAAAAATTGTTGCCTAGGGTTTAATAGTTTTGCTTCAGAATACAACAGATCAGATGGATATGAGAGTGGTTTGTCAAAGATTATTTTTAGAAATTGGTTTATGAAAATTTCTAATTTATTAATTTGGTTATTAAGTGCTCCACCCCAACCTAATATTGCGTAACTTATACGACTTTCAATCACAGCATGATATAGAATTTTCATTGTTTTTTTTTATCCAAATATTTGTTTAGATACTTGTATTTAAACAGTAATGGTCTCAAATTGGTTATTACATGATCAATATGTATATTCCACTTCAAATGTGAGTCTAAATACATATATACACCCAGATATTTTATTTTGTTTTTTAAATTTATTTGAGTATTTATATTATCGCATTTGATCTGTATGGATACAAAGGATGGTAATTTCTTTCTGTGATTTGTGAATGGCGTTTATGTCTGAACCAGTCTGCAATTATTGTTAAGTCTCTTTCAACCTTCACTTTTAGATCATCCCACGAGCTGTTACGCGAATAAATGATAGCAATATCGTCTGCAAAGCATATTATTGTCCC